TGTGTGTGTGTGTGTGTGTGTGAGAGAGAGAGAGAGAGAGAGAGAGAGAGAGAGAGAGAGAGAGAGAGGAACAGAGGGAGAGAAAGGGATTGGAGGCTCAGAGGGCTCCCGTGAGAGGGAGCCCCAGCCTGCCAGCTGCAGCATCACTCCATTCCCTGGGCCTGTGCTGCCCCCGTGTGGACAACAGGCTCACATTCCAGCCTGGGGACCGCGCAGCACGCCTAGGCCAGGGGCCCCCCACAGAGGGAAAATGGGTGGCCTAGGGCTGTTGAAGGCATATCCAGTGACCTGAGGGATGGGCTGCACCTCCAAGCCTCTGCCTGAACTGTCCTCTCTCTTCCTGCCAGGCCCCGAGCCCCAGGCTGGCATCACGCACTGCCCACCACCTTTCCTTCTCCAGGAACTTGGAATCCCAGACTCCCAGAGATAAGTGAACTTAAGGCTTATCCCTCTATCCCACACTCCATCCTCCATCCCCAGGAATTAAGTCACTGCTTGCATACCTCTTGTACGAGGGAACTCACTGCTTCCAGGAACTCACTGCTCCGTGGTTCCGAGGAAATTCTGACTGATCTGAAATAATCCCCACCCAAGGAGCTGGTATTTGCCTCCCTCAGTCACAGCTTTGCCTTTTGGGGCCACGCAGAGCCAGGTGGCCTCTCACTTGGGAATTTCTAAGCAGATCCAAAGCCCAACCCACTACTCGGGGGGCTCCTCTTCTGTGCTCCTACCTGCCTGCCCCCCCCCCGCCCCATCTTCTACAGAGAGAATATCCTGGTTTCTGATAACCCACTCACAGTCCCTCTTATCTGGTACATTGGGGATCCCTGTCCCTCTGGAACTGCAGGACTGAGGGGAATCTGGGCCCGTGAAGATTGTCCCCTCCCTCCAGTCTGGCCCTCCGTTGGATCCTGTCCTCATTTTTGGCATTCACTTGCCTCTGACATTCTTTCCCTGAGCCCTCTCCCCCTCTCCAGAGGCCTTGTGGGGAAAAAAGCATAGATGGGACTGACAATGATTGAGCACCTACTGTGTACTCAGCACAGTGTTCATGGCTAGCACAGTGTTCAGGGCTTTACTCAAATTATCCAGTGTCACCCTGTGAGGCAATTACTGTTTCTGTCCCCAGGTTATACTCAGACTGAGGCTGAGAGAGCAGAGATCTGACCTGGTCGAAGAGCTGACTCTTCTCCCTGTGAAATCCTTCCCGGATGACTGCCCTTTGCCCCCTGGTTCTGCCATCTGCCTGGGTTTGTGACGTGTGTACATTTAATTCCTCAAACATTTATCAGGCCCCCCCACGCACCTGGACCTGTACCAGGCACAGCAAAAATAATCCCAGATGTCTCCAATCCTGTCACTTGGGTGAACGGGCCCTCCTGGATCCCTGCTTGGACTGTGGCTCTGGACAAGGCCTGAGCAAGACAGTCACTGCAGGCCAATGGTTCAGGTGGGTCACATCCAGCCTCCCCTCTCCAGCTTGTGCCCAAGGCATCGGCAAGGGGCATGGGTGATAGACGCTCTGCTGAGGCCAGCTAATGGCTCTGCCCTGGGCTATGCCACTGAGGATGGCAGGTGCACCCAGACCTCCACATGGACCTGAAATGGGCAAGAACTGCTTACTCATCAAGGATGGAAGTGTGTCAACCCTGGAGGAAGGGTTACGTTCTTCACCTTTTTTGTGTCTGAGACTCCTTTGACATCTGGTGATATTTACTGACCTCTTTCAGAATAATGTGGTGGTGGGGTTTTTTTTTTGTTTGTTTGTTTACTTATTTATTTTAAGTACTTTCTATGCCTGATATGGGGCTTGAACTCACAACCCCTAGATCAAGCATCACATGCTCTTCAAACTGAGCCAGCCCCCAGCATAATGTTTTTAAAGGTTGTTTTTTTCTTTTAATAAAAAAATTATTTACTTATTTTTGAGAGAGTGTGAGCAGGGGAGAGGCAGAGAGACAGAGGGGGACAGAGGATCCAAAGCGGGCTCTGTGCTGACAGCAGTGAGCCCGACATGGGGCTTGAACTCACACGAACCGTAAGATCATGACCTGAGCCCAAGTTGGATGCTCAACCAACTGAGCCACCCAGGAGCCCAAGGAATTTTTTTCAAAAAGTTTATTTATTCTCTCTCTCTCTCTCTCTCTCAGAAATAAATAAAACATTAAAAAATAATTTTAAATAAAGGGGCACCTGGGTGGCTTAGTCGGTTAAGCATCCAACTTCGGCTCAGGTCATGATCTCACAGTTCATGGGTTCAAGCCCTGTGTCGGGCTCTGTGCTGACAGCGAGGTCAGAGCCTAGAGCCTGTTTGAGATTCTGTATCTCCCTCTCTCTCTGACCCTCCCCTGCTTATGCTCTCTCTCAGAAATAAATAAAACATTTAAAAAATTAAAAGTTTATTTATATATTTTGAAAGAGAGAGAGAGATAGACTATGAGTGGGACAGGGGCAGAGAGGGGGAGAGAGAGAATTGCAAGCAAGCTCCTCAATGTCAGTGCCAAGCCCAATGTGGGGCTCAAACCCACAAACTGCAAGATCATGACCTGAGCCAAAGTTGTATGCTTAACCAACTGAGCCACCCAGGTGCACCCCCCCCACACCCAGAATAATGTTTTTAAAAGTGCAAGGGGCACCTGGGTGGCTCAGTCAATTAAGCGTCTGACTTCGGCTCAGGTCATGATCTCATGGTTCGTGGGTTCGAGCCCCACGTCCGGCTCTGTGCTGACAGCTCCGAGTCTGGAGCCTGCTTCAGATTCTGTGTCTTCTCTCTCTGACGCTCCCCTGCTCACACTGTCTCTTTCTCTCTCTCAGAAATAAGTAAAACATTAAAAAATTATTAAAAAAAAAATAAACGTGCAAAATAGGACCACAAAGGATTTTCATGAACAGGGAAGGATGTCCACAAATTATGACTGAATGAATCAAATTGTTACAAAAGAGCTTTTATTAAAAAAAAAAAAAAAAAAAGAATGAGACTGGGGCTCCTGGGTGGCTCAGTCGGTGGGGCATCCGACTTTGGCTCAGGTCATGATCTCATGGATTATGAGTTCTAGCCCCACATTGGGCTCTGTGCTGACAGCTCAGAGCCTGGGGCCTGCTTCTGATTCTGTGTCTCCCTCTCTACCCCTCCCCCATTCGTGCTCTGTCTCTCTCTCTCAATAATAAATAAATGTAAAAATTAAAAAAAAATGAGAGAAAGAAAGGGAGTGAGGGAGGGAGAGAGAGAGAGGGCGAGGGAGCAAGAGAAAGAGAGAAGGAAGGGAGGGAGGGGTGGGGAGGGGAGGGGAAGAAGGAAGGGAGGGAGGGAGGGAAGAAGGGAGGGAGGGAGAGAGGGAGAAAGAGTGGGAAGGGAGGGGGGTGGGGAGGGGAAGGGAGGGGAGGAAGGGAAGGGGTAGGGAGGGGAGGAGGGAAGGGAGGGAAGGAGGAAGGGAGGGAGGAAGGAAGAAGGAGGGAACTATCCCTTACATAAGGCTGGCCCTACCACCTTTCCTATTGAAAAGCATGGCAGGCCTGTGGCTCCAGGTCGTGTTCCCTTTCGGCCCCTGAACAGGTCCTTCGGATCAATCAAAGCTCCTCACTCTTGCCACTGCTCCCCCTTTGGCAGGCAGCCTGGACTCCACCCTAGGCCAATCCCTATATCAGTTCCAGTGTTAATGCATGGCCATCACCTGTCTTTGAATCTGCCTCCCCTGTCAGACTATGGCTCTCTGCTCACTGCTTGCTCTGCCACTGTTATAACAATCTGGCAAAACTAAGTCCCAAGCAGATGTCCATCTCTTCCTTTCCCCCTTCGCCCCCCAACTCTGTAATATGCTCCTGTCATCTGTAAATCCACCTTGCCAAAGAATGTCCATTCAGCGGGTGTACTAAGTTCCTGTTGTACATCAAGTGCTATGTCAAGCAATGGGAGAGAAAAAGAGATCAAACCATCCTGAACCCATTGCACTTGTGTCAGTCGACACGTACACAAGTAAATATAGAACATATTCAGAGTCTGGAAAGTTCTATGAAGGAAGCAAAGACAACGAGAGGCCACGACATAATTGAGGAGACAGAGTGGAGTGTACCTATTTTAGATAGGGTGGGCAGTCTTGGGAGGCCTCTCCAAGAAAGCACACCATCCAAAGAGCATAGTCCAGAGAGAAGGTAGTCCAGTCAGGATAGCAAGTGCAAAGGCCCTGAAGTCGGAACAAGCATTTGTGCTTGGCAGGAAAGAAAAAACCCACTTCTCTCCATGGAGAGATACGGAGAAGGCTGCCAGGGTTAGGGGAGGTAAAGAGTTTATTTCCAAATGCAGGAGGAGGCCTTTGAAGACTTTCAATGACAAGGTCTGATTTGTGTCTTGAACCATCCCCTCAGATCCCACTGCTGCGTGGAGACTGAACTGGGGGGGGGGGGTTTGTCAGGAGGCAATGCCCAACTCATTTTGGATGTCCAACAGGCTTATCACATTTAATGCATCTAAACAGAAACATGTGGCTCACTGGGAACCTCAAAGCAAAGCAATAAAAGCCCTGTCCTTCCCAACCTTCCCACTTCTGTGTGAACAGTACCAGCATTCATCCACAAGTTCAAGCCAAAAACTTAGCGGCCACCCTCCCCTCCCTCATCTTCTGCATCCCAAGTCCCGTCTACTGATCACTCTTCCCCATATCCGCTGCCCTAGCTGAGTTCCAGGTCCCTCCACTCTCCCGTGGTGCTCGGCACCAGCCTCCCCAAACCTCCCTCGCTTCACTTCTGCCCCCTACAGTCCATTCTCCGCACAGCAGCAAGGGGTACTTTTAAAGAACACAAGTCGTCGCATGCATTCCTCAAGGACTCCCCTCGCCTTCGGAATCTTTAACAAGAACTGGGCCGCAAGAGCCTGGTCCAGGAGGAACAAACATGCGTAAAACCTGAAGGAAGTTAGGCTAGGCTCGCAGGGCCGCCTTCCCGTCTGGCTTGTACCCTCCCGGGCTTCGGAACCTTTCTTCCTGGCGCTGGGGGAAGCTTTTCCGCAAGTACCTTCCGGCCTGGACGACCCTATTTCCCGTGTTGCACAGCGGCTTTCCTCTTTCTCTTCCGGTCCAAGGCGCTTCGGGAGCCGCGGGCTTTGGTGAGTTTTGGCCGCGCGGTATCCGGAGCCATCCGCGCCTCCCAGCCAGATGCCGGGCGCAAACTGCGGGAGGGATAGGGGGACCGGCCGCATGGTTGTGGGGAGCGGAGGGCGCGGGGCGCGCGTGGTGCTTATGGGTTCTCAAGGAGTGGATGGGAGGGGGGAGGCTTGGGTTTGGGGGTAGAGCGCAGCCTTGGGAGGAAGGGGTGGTTTCAGTGCACTGTTACCCGAGTTCGGGAGGCGGGGACCGGTGTCGGGCCGTGCTGAATAAGTTGAGGACGGTGGAGGCCGCAGATGCAAGGCATCTGTGTGCAGCTTCATTCCGGCTTCTGGCCCACGTCCTTCCAGCTCAGGGCGGCGAAGATATGCCCGGCGCTGTGAGCCCCCGGGCCTGAGATTCACTCTGCTTTTCCAGGTGCAGACATGGCCAAGTCCAAGAACCACACCACGCACAACCAGTGTAAGTTCCCCTGGACTCATGCTCCAGACCCTGACAAGGACTAGGGATGCGGGGCAGGGAAAGGGGGCACTTTTCTACTCTGGACCTGTGACTGATTTTGTTTTCAGCCAGTACTACCTTTGGGTTATAGTTTTAGAAGCCAGGCGTCCACTTGGGATACCCACAGTGCTTTGCATTAAATGGTAAGAGTTATTACAGATCTCAAGAAGGTCTGTTCTGGGAAGTAATGGTTTTTCCCAGGCTGGCCAGCTGTGATGTTGGGTGGTCTTACTAGAGTAAATCTCATTTGGTCTAATTCCTTTGTTTCCCCATAGCACGAAAATGGCACAGAAATGGCATCAAGAAACCCCGGTCACAAAGATACGAATCTCTTAAGGGGGTGAGTGTGTGCCGGCCACATCGCATACAAGTGTGTCTGTTTGGCCCCAGTTGTGCAACCAGAGCCTTTCATGAATCTTTTTCTGGCTTCACCATCTGCCTGAGCACCGATATGAATTGTCTCGTGTATTACCTGCACTACTAAAGCCCACGGTTTCTCTATCCGGCCACCTTTTGCCTGGACTTCAAGTTCTGCAGTTCTGCCAAACCCATAACAAACCTTTACTTGGCTTTTCCCAGCCCAGATCATAGCCCCCTGATCGGCTGTAACCTGCCTCCTGAGGGTAGCTTGAGCATCCCCGTTGCTTATCCAGAGCACCTCAAGGAAAGGAGCGGCCTTATCTTTGTGTACTGCATATTCTGTGAGAGTCCTCATTCTTCTGGTCATGTGGCCTTGATCTGACCCAGTGCTGAGCTTGGGGGTCAGCTTTCTTTCCTGTGCCAAGGAGTTCCAAGGATTGTCTTGAGAAGGTTGAGGCTACAGGGTCTAAGCAGGAGAACAGGGTCCTGTCTCTTCCCCGTACCCTTGGTCTCTGATCTGTGGAATGAATCCTTGAATTTCACAATCTCAGTTTCTCCATCTTGGTCTCTTTTTCAACCTCCTTTGCCATGAGTCAGTTGTATGAGGTTTGGTGTTTAACTGACACCTTCCTATAAAGAGGTGGGGATGACATGAAGGGTTTCAGGAAAAACTGAGCTGACGCCCTGCAACCCTGGCAAAGGGGGCAACCTTTCTTTGTTCTTTCTGCGCTTGCATTTGAGCTCTACTGGGCTCTGGGCATGTAGCCCTGAAAATGTGGTTTGTATGGAGCATTAGCAGGGTGGAGTGTTGGCCTTTGGGGATGTAGTACATGTTTCTCTATAGGTGATTTGTGAGAGGTGTATGTTTCTGCATTTAAGTTTGACTTAATGCTGTCTATGTCCCCAGTAGGCCTTGACTGGAGCCCAACAGTCTCCTGCGTACAGCTTTGGAGAGGGCCACCAGGGGTGATTTGGGGCCCACATGCTGCACTTACAGCCTGTACTTTTTCTTGCCTTCCAGGTAGACCCCAAGTTCCTGAGGAACATGCGCTTTGCTAAGAAGCACAACAAGAAGGGCCTGAAGAAGATGCAGGCCAACAATGCCAAGGCCATGAGTGCACGTGCCGAGGCCATCAAGGCCCTCGTCAAGCCCAAGGAGGTCAAGCCCAAGATCCCAAAGGGTGGCAGCCGCAAGCTCAATCGACTTGCCTACATCGCTCACCCCAAGCTTGGGAAACGTGCTCGTGCCCGCATTGCCAAGGGTCTCAGGCTCTGCCGGCCAAAGGCCAAGGCCAAGGCTCAAACGAAGGCCCAGGCTGCAGCTGCAACTCCTGCTCCAGCTCCAGTTCCTGCTGCAGCTCAGGCTCCCAAAGGTGTCCAGGCCCCCACAAAGGCTCCAGTGTAGAGGCTTCTATCTGCCAGTGTGAGGATGGAAGGACTGGTGTGACCCCTGGGCCTCTATCTGCATGAGGCTGGTGTCCTCCTGTGCTATTTGTACAAATAAACCTGCGGCAGGATCTGTCTTGGCCTGTGTCTGTGATCCAGGGTCTAGGGTTGGGATGGGGTTGGTACCTCCATTTTTTGCCTTCTCTGGGTGGTAGGGTATGGGTGGGAGTCAGTAAATGCAGCTCCTGGAGTGCAGGAAGGGGACCTAGTAAAAGAAATGGGACTTAGGGAGGCTGGGGCACATAGCCTGCTGGACTGGGCAGGCTGGTGAGGAAAGCATTCCCAAACATCCTGATCTTTTGAGTTTGCCCAGGGGATAAAGAAGGGCCCTGCTGAATTCCGCACTCTGGCCCAAGCCATTCCACACTCAGGCTGTTCCTAGTGCACACGGCTAGCGTCCACTACTCTGAGTGGTTCTGGACCCCCAAATGATGGGGGCCTTGGCAGGCAGGGCGGTGGTGGCACAGACGGTCTTCCTAGTGCAACTGGGCAGGACCCTGCTGTGCACCCTGCATCAGCTGTTTTATCTGCAAAGTCTTAGTCCTTAGAGGAGCCAGTGAAGCAAGCGGTATAGTGGTCATTGGTATCTGTGGGGGCTTCCTGTAGAAGGTGCCAAGCATATCCCTGTTCCTGGTCTCACAATCCTCAAAACTCCCTTTTGTGAACCAGCCTTGGGCGCTTGTCTCGGAAAGGGTTGCACTTCCTTACGTTGGGGCAATAGGCACAACCCATGATAAATGGTCTCCCTTCTAAAGTAGGTATTACTATTCTCTTTGTTTTACAGGGAAAGAAACTTGTTCTGAGATGATGGAGCTAGGCTGGGATGGAAGTAGCATTGGACCCAGGCAGCCCATGCAGGACCCCAGAAAGTTTGGCCAACCAAGGCTGGGCTGTGAGCTCGTGACTATCATCCCGGCATGCTCTGGGTAGCCAACTGCCCCATCACCAGGGGGTGTCAGATAACGTGGGTCTTGAAAGGGACCAAGAGCAGGTTTTATGACCTGAAGGTAGCTTGGCCTGAGGTCACCGTGTCACGTGCCTTCCAGTAAGGCCTGTGTTCTAATCCCCAAGAGGGGGTGGGGAGGGCATAGAGACTCCTTTGTCCCAGTCATCCTGCTACAGTCTGAAGGGGGAGGCCAGACCCCAGGTCAGGGGCTTCAACTAGGCTTACTGAAGTCCACACCAGCTTGTGCTCTCAGCTTCTGCATGGAGCCTCCCTTGTGTAGGAAGCACAAGCCCCTAGCTCTTGAGTCTCCAAACTTTGGACTCCCACTACCTGCAAGCAATGTAGTCCTGGACAGGCCATTCTAGCAGAGCCTCCAAAGGGGTTCCGGTGAAACCTGCACCTAGGAGCTGCTGTGAGGGTTCAAAGAGGACAAAGTCCTGGCTCCTTGTCAGAACTCCAGGACCAGGGGCTATTACTATGGGGACTAAACCCACAGGCCACAGACCCAGGCTGTGGACTGCCCTCTGGCCGCTACCTGCAGCACTTAAAAAACTCAGGTCTTCCTATCTCTCCCACCCAGTTCCCGTGGAGGTGAGAACAGGACTAGATCAGATAAACTAGAGGAACAGGCTCCTCTTTTGGGGCCAAGTGACTCTTTATACTGCCTAGAAGTGTAGCAGTGGTGACACACTGAAGTCCCCACTCGTGGGCCACTCCACACACACTGATCCCTCCCTACCCAGGGTGCTGAACTGACCCAGTCTACCAGGGCTTCTGCCCCTCTGTGACTCATGCTCCCAGCATCAGAGCAGGCCACACCCCCTTCCTGTCATCCCGAGGGTCTGACAAATGCAAGCAGTGCTGTCTACCTGCCCCACATCTGGCAGGGCCCACCTGGCCTATCTCTGGATCCTGAGTGTGTTCCCAGAAGTCAGGGATGATTCCCTGACATCTTGGTCTTAGTTTCTCCCTTGATGAGGATGGTATCCCTGCCCTTAAAAGTCAGATACAGGTTTGGTGACCATTGAGAACAGGAATTATGGTCCCTTGATGCTGAACAGAGAGGGCTGGATGGTACTGGGTGAGTATGCTGTGTCAAGGGGCATAAGAGCAGCACGGGGTGGTAGGGATGTAGCCAGAACCAGGCTCAGTTTTCTCATCTGTGAAATGGGGATGATAACAGCATGTCCACAAAGAAAATGATAGAATTCCTGCTCCATGAACGTCCTTTCTCTTAGTACTTCAGAACCTGTCCTTGTCCACACTCAGACTTTATTGTTGGGCAGGGGGGCAGAGGGGTACTTAACACTGGTCAGGGTGGATGCTCCAGGGGTGGAGGCTGGGGAGCCTGGAACTCAGCTCTCACTGGGCAGGGCAGGCACACTGGCCAGAGCAGGCAGCAACCGTGTGTATATGTCAATCCCACGGAGGAACACAGCCTCGTGCAGACGCTCATCATGGTCGTGCAGCAGCACGGGTGTGCGGTTCATGGGTGAGAAGCCCAGAGCTGGGATCCCCACCTGCAGGGGGCAGGAAGCCGTTAGGAGGAAGGCCAGGATCCAGGACCACCCCCATTGCTCATCCATTGCAGGAAACTCACCGCACGGAGATAGCGGCTATCCGTGGCAGCTGGGAAGATCTCTGGCTCCAAAGTGAGGTTCCTGCAGAGGGAAGAGCCTGGTGAGTGGGGAGGCAGGGAAGGGAGAGGGCAAGGGAAGGACTGAAGGGGCAAAGGAAGGTGAAAGGGAGGCAGGGGAAGGACAGAGGACAGGGGGAGAGAAAGGCTGGCCAGTGCGCTCACATGTCCTTGAAGACCCCGCTGAATGCTGCCCACCAGGGGTCTGAGTCATCAGTAGATGTCACTCGTGACTCTGTCCACTTCTGGGGGGAAGGGAAGGAAGGCAGGATCAGGACAGGGCCCAGACATCTTGCCCTATTCTTCAAAGGGTGTGGGCTGTGCCTGCCACAGGCACACATCCATTCCTCTTCCCCCCCCACCCCAGCCTCAACCCACCTACCCAGATGCCCAGCTGGCCAGTCCAGCCACAGGTCTGGGGCCTTGCCCTGCTCTCCATCTTCTTACTTCCTGTCCATCCTATATATCCTAGGTCAAGTGCCCCTTCCTCAAGATGGCTCTCCCAGACCTCTCAGACTGGCCGAATACTCATTACAGGTTCTCAGAGTTGGGGGAGGGGGGGCAGGCAGGCTTTCCTGAACATGTGTTCATACTTATGCAAAAATAATATTATATAAATGTTTAATTCACGTTTATTCCTCTCTTCATGCTGTAAGGACTAGAAGGCCATGAACTGTGCCTAATTTTACTCCTATAGTATACTCAGCACCCACCAGCGGCCTCCGTGGCTCATGCTTGTTGCCAGATAAAACGGGTCTCTCGTAGCTAAAGAAATGTCCAGACATATGCAGGCACACCAAGCGCACACTCCCACTGCGGCCCCCCCTCAGCTAGCCCCCTCTCCCCTGCTCCCGCGGCTCCCCGACCACAGGTCCCCAGCTGATACCTGAAGAAACTCGAAGGTGACCCCCTCGCCAGCTGCCTGGCACCAGCCCTGCAGCTGCTCCTCGAAAGCCTACAAGAAGGGAGATGAGCTGACCTCTCAGGCTCTCCCTGAGCCTCCAGGATAGGTTTGAGGACCCGGCTCCCTCCTCCAAACCCAGATGGAGGTGGCACCTTCAGGTCCACATCTGGGGCCACGCGGAAGTCAAAACTGGCGCTCATAGTAGCAGGTACCACATTGTAGGCCACGCCGCCCTCTAGCTTAGTCAGGTTCACGGAGGTCACAGCCCCTGCCTTCAGGTGGGGGTTTGACTGCAGCCTGCGGTGGGAGACAGGGCAGGGGCAGTGGGGGAACAACAGATAAAAAGCCTCCTTTCTCTCCTGCACAGATGCCCAGACTCCCCACCCTCTTTCCCAGGCTGCCTCACCTCTGCCTCTCCTTCTCCCGGAAATCCAGGACTGAGCTCACGACTTTGTGCTAGGAGAGTGTGAGGTCAGATGTGAGAGTGGCCCCGGGATAGAGCCTTGGGAATTCCCAAACTCCCTCCCTGTGTGCCACGCACCAGCTTCTCTGCTGCTGTGTCCTCGATGAAGCGTGAACCGTGGCCTGGCTTCCCGGTGCTCGTGACCCACACCCCTGGGAGATGAGGGAGAAGGGGGTGTCTTAAGCATGGGAAGAGCTGGAAAAGCTATCAGCCCTGGGGTGGACTCCCCAGGTCTTCCCCTCATTCCAAGCTCCTCTGGAAGGGCTGTCCCCATAGAATGCACGGTGTAGAGCTGGCTTCTGCCCACGGGGGAAGCTGGCTTCTTACCCTAAGAAGCTCAGGAAGGAGAAGCCCAGGTAGGAGGGGGCTAGGAGGCAGAGGCTCTGGGTTCAAGACCTACTCAGGCCAAACTTGCTGCATGACCTTTGGCAGGCCCCTGCCCCTTCTGGCCCAGCACCCCATCTGCACAGTGATGCCCTCCTGCCAAGCCCATACTCACACCAGGGGCTCCGCTCACTATAAAAGACAGTGAAGGCATCGGTAGGGTTGGCCAGGCCTGGGGAGGGAAAGGGGATTCAGAGGGTGGAGGAGCCCAGCCCCCACTAGCAGCTTCCCTACCCCCTCCTGGCCGCTCAGGGGCTTGCCACCCTTCTCACCCTCATCCAGTGCAAAGCCAGCCCTAAGAGCCTGGAACTCGGGCCGCTGCACAAACAGCTCCATGCCTTGGTGACCCCCAACCTCCTCATCTGTAAAAGCAACAGGGACATGAGATGAAGGAGCCACCCGCACCAACACATGCTCCTGCTCCCTTGAAAATGTCCCTCCCCAAGCCACTCCTACCTGGCACAAAGGTCATGTGGATGGTTCTGGGGAAATGGTGGCCCTCAACTTTCAGCCTCCTCACAGCCTCCAGGTACCTGAGGGGCAATGACAGGGTGTAAGCCAGGTGTTGAGGGAGCCACCAGATGTTTGGGTGGGCAGGCTGGAGCCCTGGACGCTGGGACCTGCTCTGCTACAGTCTGGTAGGGGGATTCTGGGAAATCCTTGTCCTTCAGTCTCCCTATCCATGTAATAATGGTGGTAATTCCTGTCCAAGGTAAGGGGTCAAGATGTTCCTTGGCCTTGAGTTTCTCCAATCACACCTCAGGTCCTGTGTCAATTCAGTGGGCCATTCGGGACATTGGAGGGGAAAGGGAATGGAGGACACTCACTGGATGCTCACACACTTCATATCCTGGGTGCCCCTGGCATAGATGTAGCCCTCTGCATCTTTGAAGGCCTCAAAGGGGTCATGACTCCAGTGTTCCTGAGGTAGAGATGAGAAGAGGACCCAAGCCCCAAATTTAGTCATTAATCTACTCTGCTCAACTGTAGCCCTGCCCTGGAAGTAGGGTTGGGGTGACAAGTGGGGTGGTGAAAGGGATAGAAGAGGGCTGAAGAGGGCAGCTGACTGCCATCCCTCAATTCTGTTCCCACCCTCACCCCCAGCCCCACCCTGGGCATAGAATGGACCACTAGCAAAGGCTGCTTGAATGGAGTAACGCCTATGACATTAGGAGTCAGTTTCAGGACCAGCCCAGCAGGATCCCTGGGGTCCAACAGAGGGTCTAAATTATTTGGGTACCCCAAAGCCTGTACGGCTCCCTGTCTGCACACACACCTTGAAGACAGGAACCACATCCGTGTGGGAGTTGAGTAAAAGGGAGGAGAGTCTGGGGTTGGTGCCTGGCCATGTCAGCACGGTCACAACATAGCCCGGTGCCACCTGGAGAGGATCAGGAGGTGAGGAGGTGCCCCAGGGCCAGGTCCCCTCCCCATGCAGGGCCCCAAGCTCACCTCTACTTTCTGACAGCTCAGGCCTAGTTGGCGGGCTCTCTCCTCAAGGAAGGCCACTGCAGCTCCTGGGAACACAGAGAGTCTTAGGGTCGCTTCTGCCTACCTTTACTTCCCACTGACTCAGGAAGAGCTGTGGTGCATTCAGAGAGGGGAGCCCATCGAAATGGGCTTCTGCCTCCTCAGTGCAATTCCACATCTCTCAGGGACACCTGAATTTCTGTCTCTAAGGAAGAAGGTGTTTTTGGCCAGTCAGGGATCTTTTGTGAAAGGTCAGGTGGGAAGTCCACAGTGAGAAACAGGAGTGATTGCTGTCTTTCTTAGGAAAACTGGTGCAGAGACGTGAGATTCACCTACTGAGTCCCAGCTGGTAAATATAGGGCAGGGGTTTGGACCCATATCCACAATTTCCAGCCACCAAGCTTGATTTCCTAAGGGCTGTGGCCTTTGTCCTGCCCCAGTAGGCTTCTGGAGCTTCTTCCCTTGCGGCTGCCTGGTCTCCCCTCCCCCCACCTCAAACACTGGGCAGTGAGGCGAAGTTGTTCCTTAACTAGCCACCAGGAGTAACTTCTGGTGCAGAGCAGTCTGAAGGGGAATCTGAGCAGTCTAGAGGCGTTGAGGCGCCATCCGGGGCAGCAAAATGGGCTTCAGCTGGGTGACAAAGGTTGGAGTCTGGTATAGAGCACAGTCCCCGCCCCGGGGCCCCGACGCAGGCTCTGGAACCACAGCTTTCTCACCGTAGTCGGGGTCCGGCTGGACGGTGCGGATGCGCAGGTACTGACGGAAGAGCGTCACGGACGGGTGCTCGCCCTCGAGACCCTCGCTGGCCATGGCGCTGCGCGTGGTGAGCTGGGGGCAAAGCGAGTGGCTACCTACTCCTCCCAGCCTCTGGGGCCCAGTGGACTCCATCTGCACACAGGCCCTCCCGAGGGCGGTTCCTCCGACGTCCCACAGGGAGAACACACCCCACTTCCGAGCCTCCATTCTGTTTCAGGGAGCCGTGCTGGCCGCTTTCGACACATACCGGTTTGAATACGCCAAAAAGCCCCATGAAGTTTTGCCTCTGAATGCCCACTTTACAGAGGAGAAAGCTGAGGCTGAGGGGTTCAGGGACAGCTAGAGAGTAGCTGAGCCAGGTTTGATCCCAGGCATTGACTTCCCCAGCCCTTCCCAAATCATTCTCCCAATTGCCCGGATTTTATGCCATGGAACCCCAGATCCTCTCCCGGGCCCCGCACCTCGCTCTCTGCCGGTCTTGGGCCCGCGGTTGCTTCTCAGCGCCCGCTCCGTACTGTGCCGGGAGCTCAGGGTCCTGAGAGGTCGAGGGCTCAGAACCGCTGGGGTCTGCCCACCACGTGCCAGGACGGGATCGCGGGGCGGGGCCGAAAACTGCGAGTAAGGGCCGCCCCAGTCTCCAGGGCCGCGTCGGCGCGAGAGTCTCCGCCCGCCCCTGGTTCTAGCCTCCGCTCGGATTACCGGATCTCTCTCGGGGACAGCCACCGCCGCCACCTGCTACGCCCCGCGGCTGACTGCTGGCCCCGCCCCCGCAGGCCCGGTCCCGCCCCCACAGGCCCCACCCCCGCCGGGCCCTGCTCCCGGGCCTAGGAGCGAGCTCCGGATGGTCCCGCCTCCAGAGGGCTCCATCTCCCACAGCCTCCAGTTGGGGCCAGAAGAGAGGTGGGCGGCTACTGACATCCGCTGTGTCTTCCCCTCCGGCGCCCCTTACTCTTGGGCCACAGCGCTGCAAAGTCCTGCCAGAGCTGGCCCCTGCCTGCTCCCCGACCCCTTCCCGCGCGTCTCTGACTTCTCCCCGATTCCGTGTCTCAGCTCCTCAGGGAGGGCCTCCCTGACTGCCTCAGCCCCCTGTGCGGAGAGGTTATTGGTCAATGTCTGTCCCCTCATACTGTATAAACTCTAGGAGGCCGGTCCGTGTATCCGGTAGGGCACAAAGCTTATGCTTGGACAACGTGCCAGGAAAGGATAGATGGACACAGGGCCACGCGTGTGACTGCGTGTGAGATCGTGTGAACGTGCCGCTGTGTGGGCAAATCTGTGTATCGCTGTGTATGACCATGTGTGCTAATACGAGTGCGAGGCGGTGGCTGGGTGTGGCAGTGTCTGTGTGACAGAGAATGTCGTGGTGGGAGGATGAAACCCTGAGGCTGCTTCGCGGTGGGAGGGGTGGGGAGACTGCACAAAAGCATACATGTGGCAAACTGTTGGCTGACCCTGTGCCAGGCTCCCTGGCTCTTCTGCAGCCACCGGAGAGGGAGGATAAAGAGGCACAGGTGTCCCACTGGCCACCCACCGACTGCACACAGTTGAGCTGCCCACTTGTGCCCCCATTGCCCTTTGTACCCTTAGGCAGTTCTGAGTCAGCTTGGGGAGGGGCAGGCTTGAGGACTTCAGCCTCCTGGCCCAGAGGAGGCAGGCCAGGAGGGGCGGGAGGGGTCCAGCCCAACCCTCCCGGGGTTTAAGTCTGGGCTGTTTACTGACCCATATATGCCCAGGGCAGGCAGTCTTGGTAGCTCACCACCAGCGCTAGGTTAATTGTTAAATCACATCCCCCACCTCCAGCCCTCCACATCCTGCTCCCTGAGGCCATAGGTCCTGCATTCCTGACTCACTCAGCTCAACTGCCAGACCCTGGATTTCCCACCAATCCCAGTGGTCACACAGCAGTAGCTATCCCACCTCATCCTGACCCCCGCCAGCCCTGTGTGGCCACGTGCTCCACTTACCCGGACTGATTCCATCCTAAAACCAAAATCTGAGCTAGGTATTAACATCGTGCCCATTTTACAGATGAGGAAATTGAGTCACAGAGTGGTGAGGGCAGCCAGCTAGGAAGCAGCCCATGTTCTTAGTCTTCCCAGGCTGCTGAAGCCTCCCTCCAGCTCCCAGCCCCAAAGCAATCCCAGACTTGCCTCCCACTCCCACCCCACCTGCTGCAATGCCAGGAAACGGGACCTGTCACTCCCCAGGCATGACAAAAGTGCTTTTTTTTTATTGTGCCTGTGAGATGAAATGAGAGGTCCTGACTGTGCCTGGCCCTCTGACCTCCACCCTCCAATCCCAGGGGCTGCCTCCCTGATGAGGCGCTGGTCCAGACTCTCCAAGCTCAGGCCAGGCCTTGGGCCTGGCCAGTGGGTGACCTCAAGGCAGGTGGTCGAGGAAGGCAAGGAGGACAAGGTGGAAGTCTTGAGGCTTGTGGAGGTAGCAGGCATGGCCTGCGTCACGCAGCTTTACCACAGAGTGGTTGGGCAGGTGGCGGAGCTGCCGCAGTGACTCCCGAGCCAGGATGCGGTCCAGCTCCCCATACAGGATGAGAGTCGGGGTCTGCAGGGCAAGGCAAGGGGTTGTGATCCTGGGGCCTGATGGGAACTGACCCTCTAGCCACCTCCTTAGGAAATCTTTCCCAAACACCCCATCTCTTTCTATCCAGATGAGGCTGTGTGTCCTCCAAGTGAGACCTGAGTCCTTTCCTGCCATGACTCAAGCCAGGGATAGCAAGCCAGTACCTTTGGAAACCCTCCTCCTAGTACCTTCACGGCCCAGAATTGTTCCTGGGTGTAGTTCTGGGTGGAGGCGGGTGCGATGGGCACGAATCCACGCAGCTGGTGGTGGCCTTGGATCAAAAAGGGCAGGGCATAGCGGCCACTCAGAGAGGGGCTCACCAACACGGCATTCCGCACCTCCAGGTCTTGAAGTGCTCGCTCCAGCAGTTCTGCCCGCCCTGCCTCTGTGCTTGCCTCCTTGGAAGGTGCTGAGTTCCCAAAACCTGGGAACAGCAGGAGGTATGAGCTGAGGGAGGCTGGAAAGGAACTCAGGACTTCCTGCCCACCACAGTGGGGGAAAGAGCAGTGGCACATGGCAATGCTAGCCCAAACTTCCCAGAAGCTATTTTTTACAACGTGACAGGCCTGCTAGAAAAGCAGTTTTCATTCATTACATTGGCAAAACCAAGAAGACTGATAATACACAGTGCTGGGGAAGATGAGGAGAAATGGGCACATTCATACATGACTAACGGGAGGATAAATCCATAGAGCATTTTTGGAAGGTAAGGTAGTGTTTGTCAAAATTTTAAAAATGTGTATCTTCTGACCCATCAATTGTCCTTGGTAGCTACCCTACAAAAATTATTGCCTTTGTGCTCAAAGAAACATGTCCAAAGTTGCTTCAGCTTCATTTCTCAAGCATTTCAACTGACACTGAAAGCTCTGAATCAACCTATATATCCACCAGTAGAGGAACGGACAGATAAAATCTGTCCATGCCTCCGATGGCACATAGTACAGATACGGATAACTCGCATGCCCTCTGAGACATGGTAGAGGGGGAGAAAACCAAGCTGCAGATAGATTTGCTAGGTAGACGGGACACCAGTCATGTTCCTAACCTCACCACACAATCCTGCAGTATCATGTGCTTCTACATATGGAAACACCCAAAGGGAGGCGGGCACCCCCAAACTGCTGGGAGAGAAACATGGCATGGGTCTCTGAGGGCATCACTCTTGTTTGACTTTTTAAAGACAAGAATGATAGCATAAATCATTTGCATAACTAAACCAAAAAGCTACCTAGTTTGTCATAAAAAATACAGTGAGATCTCTTCATGCAGTTGCTTGTGAAGGGAGTCGTGTTTCTATTTGCTCTGTAATATGCAACAATCCACATTCTAGTCGTCAAGGTAGAGAATAAAAACAGACCTTTCAGTATTGCCAACTTGCCTTGCGACCTGCCAGTCTGTGCAGACACTGGGGTCCAAAGCCAACCCCCCCAGACATACCTTAAGGCTTATCTACCCCTCCAATTCCCCACTCCGGGAAGCTGCTCCCCTGTACCCACTGGACGTTGCTCTCCTAGACCCCGGAGTGGTGGCTCTCACCTGGGAGGTCAAGGGCCACGGCCCGGTAGCCCCTCTGCGCCAGCAGCTGCAGTGTGCCCAGCTGCTCCCACGTGTGGGAGTTAAAGGCCTTTCCATGGAGCAGCACCACCTCCACCCTGTGGGCACACAGGGGAGTGTGTGTCCTGGGGGTCTGGGAGTGGCCCACCGTTCTTTCTTTTAGGCTTCTCCCACTGCCCTCCCACCTGAGCACCCTGAGTTGAGCTGGGGTCCCACACAGGGACTCCCCTCGGACCTGTCCTTCCACTGTATCCTGGGGTCAGCACCCACCTGCGTGCCCGGTGGAGTGGGAGCACCTCGCGGTAAAAGATGGGGGAGTTGCCAGGGGTGAGACCAGCCAGGATTGTGACATTGGGGCCTCCCCAGAGCCAGGACGTCTGCTCGGGGGGGCCTGGCAGCCCCACGTACAGTAGCAGCATGAGCAGCAGGCCCAGGCCCAGCAGGGCTACCTGGGACCGGCTCATGGAGGTCTGCACCACAGTCTGGAGGAGAGGAGAGGAAGAAAAGGCTGGGGCTGCACCTCCACCAGGCCCCCTGGACCCCATCCCCAAACCCCACCCAGAAGCCCCCAGCAGAGGAAAAGCTCTGCACTTGCCCTTTCTCCTGCTCTGGGCAGGGGTCTGGGGTTCATACCCAACTCCTCCACATGCTGGGGCAAGGGCTCAGATGCCCTGCAGTGTGAGAAGGGGCATTTGAGATGTCTCCCGATACACAGCATGCTCAGTGACCAGCGTCACTGTGCCAGCTGAAAACCACTTCCATTCATCGGGCGCTGATGACAGCCAGATCCTGTGTTTGGCCCTTCACATGCAAGGGCTCATGAACCCACACAAGAAAGAACACTGGGGAGCAGATATGATTATAGCTCTCTTGCAGATGAAGAAACAGGCCCAGAGAGGTAAATTCTCTTGCCCCAAATGCAGAGTAGCAAGCAAGGGAGCTGGGATTTGAATCCAGGGCTGGGCTGCTAACCACCAAGTCACGCTCAGTTTGCCAAGGAAGAAACCATGGGGCTGAGAGGTGAGGGATGAACTGGAGCCTTGCTGGTGGACAGAGTAGTGACAGTCATCAAAAGTGAAGGACTATGTGTAAAGCCACATCCCACTTACAGCATGTTTGAAATGGTTCTTTTTTTTCCCTTTTTTATCCCATTGCACAGAATAGTGCTTAAATCAGAATGTAGTGGGTTTGTTTTTTGTTTTTTGGTTTTTTTTTTTAACAATCGATGGGAATATTTAACACTCTACCTCAGCTGATATTAAGCGGGAAGAGGCCTCCTGGAGAATACCTGGGATGGAGGAAATGCTGAGGCGTGAGGGGAATAGGGCAAGGGAGGAGCATGGTACACCTAGAAATGGAAAAGGCAGCATGGAGGTTGAAGAGATGAATGCTTCCCCTGACCCCAGCTTCATGACCTCAGTCTGAGTCCTTTGACTATCCAGAGGACAGACCCCAGGGCCCAGGACCCAGGCAGAACAGTTAGCCCTGGCTTTGAGACTCTGCTTTGCCACCCCTGGCTGTGTGTCTTCAGTTTGTCAGTAAAATGGAGGGAAAGGATAACCTTGCATCAGCCCTCTCAAATTTCCTGTGATATTTCAGTAAGACAGTGGACCTGACCCAGGGCTGACCTTCTCATAATTTTTTGGGCCTACGATGAGTACACCTGCTTTATTCCTAGATTGCAGTGAACACACCTTTACTGAGTGTCAACGGGGTGCTGGCCCCAGCTAGGAGCTGGAGACCCACCTTGGGCCCCACCCTCCTCTCCTTGGAGCTTTGGGGATATTTCCCAAGCCCCCACCTCCAGGCTCCCAGTCCTGTGGTGGGTGGGCAGCGGCAGCCCCTCTGGCACTGATGGAGAGCCAGGCGCTGAGGAGAGGAAGAGGCCGCTCCTCTCTTCCTTCTGACCATGAAGAGCAGTCTCCCACTTGGCATTAGCCTAGGTTCCCACTGGTAGGAGAATCTGTGCTGTACTTCTCCCTGTGTCAGGCCTGCTTTTGCCCAGCGTCTTGCCTTTACCATTTGGGAGTGGGGAGAGGCAGGACTTTGGCTGTTACCTTGGCAACCCAGGCAGCTGGTGCACTAGACCATGAGAGTGGGCAGCAGGCAGGCAACCGGCATACTACAGATTCAGCATGGGGATGGGGAAGCTCTACTTAAGTTAGGTCCTTGACATACATGTAAACAATGACACACAGATGTACACACGTGCGCACAAACATTGAGTCCTGCCTCCACATGCTTTTCTTTTGCACAAGCTATTCCCCGCATGTACAGGCAGACATGCTTGGCCTGTGAACAATTGATCCCTTGAAATCAATTCAGGCATACAGTCAGCCATCAGGGAGGCAAAAGGACACACACACACACACACACACACGCTTTCAAAATCATGCAGACTCTCACATTTCCAGCACACATTCACACAGTCCTAAAACGACACATGCATACAAGAAACACACATGCACACGTGCTATGTCTGTGCACATGACAGACAGACATGCCGTCAGAAATACACTCACAGGTAGATACACACCAAAACTCAAAATCACGTGTACACAGAAATGCACACAGTTGATGTACAAAGACACCAGAGTACAGGCAGTTCCACCCCCAACCCTCTGCCATGTAGGCATGTAGAAACAGACACACGCCACATCGACACAGACCCCTAAGAAGACAGGCAGACAAACGCGTGCGTGCACACACAACACACCAACACACACACACACACACACACACACACTCATTGCCCCAGAGCCTGCTACTCCCGCAGGACTCTGCCCCAGAATCTGGGGGCAAGGGGCGGAGCTAGGATGGCCCGCCCCAGGCACCCTACTGGCTTCATTCCCCGGGGACACTCACCCGACCGACCGGGACGACCGAGCCGGACACCCGGGAGCGGGCCCCGCCCACGCGAAACCAGCAGCCAAACAGCGCCGCAACCATCGCGCTGCCTCCGCGGCTCTGCAGGCTGCTGCGGGCACTAGGCGGCTGAAAGCGTGGCCAAGGAGGCGCGCTTGCGCAGTCCGCAGTCGCAGGCCCCCCGCCTCCTAATCTAGATGGAGGGGGACAGCAGGCGGCGCCCGAAGGCACACAGGCCCGGCCCACCGCCCAGATTTTCCGGATTGCTTCCAACCCGGGGCCCTGGGGAGAGCCACTGGCCTCTTCCCACCAGACCATCTCTATCGTGGGTCATTCCCTCGTCTGTACAACGGGGTTAAGGATAAGGGTTATCTTAAGGACCACAAACGACCGGTCAAGCCTTAGCTCAGTGTCTGGCGAGGAGGCTTTTTCTGTTAAAATATCAGATATTATTGTTACTTGGCAGCTCCAGGTCTCAGCCCAACCGCTTCTCCAGCCCCTATGGATACACATGCACACGCACTTGATCAGAGCCCAGGGCGGCCTCTCGCTCCTTCATGGCTCTTTATGGCACCCATCCTGGTGGGCAATGTGTGACCAACGTGTGGTCTGCCCCGGGTCAGGACAGGCGCCAGGCTTGGCGGCCGGGCCTGGCACAGGGAGGTAGGGCAACATCACACCCATTCTACAGGCCAAGAGGCTCGGAGACGCTACGTAAACGACCGACGCCACCTGGCTGGACTTTGGCAGTATCTCGCCACTCAAAGCTGTCGGGCTTCAATGCATGTCAGGTGCACAACTCTGGGCCTGGGAAGTCAAGGCCAGGGATGAGTGGCTGGGGACGAGGGGGTTGGAAGCAGCAGGGATGAGACTCCATGAACCTCAAGCCGCACCATGTGCATCGGGGGGCAAGTTGCTGGGGGCCGCAACTAGCCAGGTACTTGGAACACAAGGGGCCGAGGGGCTCGGGGAAACAGAGTCCGCTGTGACAAGAAAAATAGGCCTAACGGCACCCACAGGGCCTGCGAGGCTTCTGGCCACAAGAGGGAGCCCCGTAGCACGGCCTGGTCCCCGCCCTCGGCCTGGCCAATTCCCAGTTTCCCTGTCCCAGGCCCCAGTCGCAACCAGCACTCGCCTGCTTCTTGTCTGCGCGAGCCTACGCAGCTCCTCAGGTACTGGCCCCGCGCCCCCGACCCGCTTTTCCGCTATCCAATGAGGGCCCACCCCTACCTACCCCCAGTTCCTCCCTTTCCCCCTCTTCGGCTCCCCAGGTTCCCTCCTCGGGTCTGCCCCCACCCTTCCGCTTGCGCCTTACCGGGCCCTGCGAGCCAGAACCGAGGTCCGCGGAGGGAACAGAGAGAGCCGCTGCGGCGCCGTTGACCGTGCTCCTGACCACGGCGTCAGAGCGTTGGCCCCCAGAGGGCAGCGCGCTGAGCACTCCGCATCCCTTGCAGGCCGGAACTCCAAAGCCTTTCCCGGCTCTGCTCCAGCTTCCGCCTCAAGAAAATGGGTTTTTAACTCCAACCCTGACCCCCTGTGGCCTATGGTGACAACCTACAGCCTTTAACAATGCCTTGAAGAGGAAGAGGTCCAGAAGCAAAATAGCTGCTTACTGTTGATTGAGCACTTACTATGCTCTCTATGTGTTAGGAACAAAGTCCAGTGTTTTACATGCCTGAGCTCTTTTAATCTCAACTACCTACGAGCTGAACACTATTGTATTATTCCTATTTGTAGAAAAGTATAATAACAGAACAATAATCATAATGGGAACCCCATGTATTGAGTTCTAAGGGCAGGCACCCTCACTTGTCAATTTTTTTAAAATTCATTAATTCTTGAGGTAGGCTTTATCGTCCCTTATTTCAGAAGAGGAAACTGAGGCCCCAGGCCATACAATTGAGTGGCAGAGGCATAAATCACACTGTGTTTTCCTCACCCCAAAGCATGTTCCTAGAATTCTGGTAGCTTCCTGGAGGCCTTCTTGCTGCTTCCTGAGGGACCCATGCTCTCTCTGTGGTAGCCTGGGCAGGGTGTTCTGTGGCTCATCAGTCTGGCCTTGAATCACAGGTGCTTCAGCAGTGCAGCAGCAAGTATGGCGGGTGTGGAGCAGCACGAGGGCACCATCCAGGTTCAGGGTCAGACCCTCTTCTTCCGAGAGGCTCGGCCAGGCGGTGGACAGGCTGCCCGCTTCTCAGTTCTGCTGTTGCATGGTATCCGCTTCTCCTCCGAGACCTGGCAGAACCTGGGCACGCTGCACAGGCTGGCTCATACTGGCTACCGGGCTGTGGCTATTGACCTGCCAGGTACTTCCGGGGCAGGCTCCTGGACAGGGGTTGTGGAGGCCTCACCGGAGGTGGGGGATTTGGGAGGACCTGGCCGAACTAGGCCCTGAGTTCAATGGGGCATGGTGCAACTGTGGGGCCTTCTAGTTTCTCTGGTCTCCATGCGGATGTGGTCTGGACACTGTCCAGATCCTTCTAACTATGTTGTCCTGGGGCAGTGTCTAAGTATCTCTGAGCCTCTGTTTCCTCATCTGTACTGGGAGATACATTCATTTGGGGGGTGGCTTTAGTGAGAATAGACGGAGATTACGTGAATATGTGGTCAGTACCTGACACCCAATAATCGGTGCTCAGCCAGTTGGAAGTAAAGTCTTTTGATGGAGCCCTAACCATAGGGTCTGCTGGAAGCCCTACTGAGTGAGACTGAATCTTCTGACACATTTGGGGGTGGGGCAGAGCCTGGAGGATGGCTAAGCCCCCAGTCAGGATCCCATGTACAAGCCCTAACCCGGATTCTGGAGTAGGCAGGTGCAGCCCCAGACTGGCAGTCATAACCTAGACATGGTGCCATGTGAAGGGGCAGCATAGCTAACCTGCTCCCCTCACAGGCATGGCTGCCATGTTTTCAGTGCCCAGGTGTGGGCCTCTAGGCCCAGATGGAATTGGTTAAGACAGTGGGTTGGGCTGATCTTCCAGGTGAAGGTCTTGAGCTGATCTTTCCGGGGAAGGTGGGACTAATTGGAGGGGAGGCACAAGTGCAGAGCCAGCTCCTCAGCCACTGTCCTCCCTGCCAGCCCTGGGATGGGTGTGTCTTAACCAGCCAACTCACTTAATTTTCACAAGAATCTGAAATGGCAAATACTTTTGTTATTTCCTTTAACACATGGGGAAACTAAGCAGCTGAGAGAGGGCTGAGGAGGCTTTGCCAATGTCACATAGATAGTAAGTGGAAGGTTGAGACTTGGACCCAGCTGGGTTGGACTCCAGAGCCTGATCCTTTCCAGGACCACACTACTGCTGGGAGAGACGGGCACAGGACAGACATAGAGGGAAATGCCTCATACTTGCCACTAGAATGGTAGATCTAGGCTGTTGTAGGAATAAACTCGGGTACGCTGTGTGCTGCAGGAACCTGGAACAGAGATTGACCCAGGAGGGCTTCCTGGAGGAAGGGACTGTTTCTTCCACTTTCTGGCTCATGCCCTCATCTCGTCTTTCTCATACCTGAATCCCTGCAGGTCTGGGGCGCTCCAAGGAAGCAGCAGCCCCCGCCCCTATTGGAGAGCTGGTCTCCGGCAGCTTCCTTGCAGCTGTGGTAGATGCCTTGGAACTGGGCCCCCCAGTTGTGATCAGCCCATCGTTGAGTGGCATGTACTCCCTGCCCTTCCTCACGGCCCCTGGCTCCCAGCTTCGGGGCTATGTGCCAGTGGCCCCCATCTGCACTGACAAAATCAATGCTGCTGACTATGCCAGTGTGAAGGTATCCCTGGGTGGGAGGCCAAAATGCCCCTGCCACGAGCAAGGAAGGGTCCATCCTGGGGCCTTTCCTCACCTGGGGGAGGGGTAACCAAGGGGTGGCTTTTGGGAGGAGCTAAATGACTAAACTCCACCCTCTGGGTTTAGCTGCAGATAACTGTGCCTTGTTCTGTGTTAAACTGTATGGTGGGGCAGACAAAAATCCATGCCTCTGTCCACCAGGAGCTGGGGCCTCTTCTATCACCCACTGGGCCTGCTTGTCTCTCCCCCTTATTTGGGGTGACCCCAGGGAGAGACTGAAGTGATAGTGGGGCCAGAGCTGACCTCTAGGGGGCTGGGGCCAGTGTGTCAGTTCCCTGTTTACTCTGTCTCCCTTTCCTTTCTCTAGACCTCAACTCTTATTGTATATGGAGACCAGGACCCCATGGGTCTGACCAGCTTTGAGCACCTGAAGCAGCTGCCCAACCACCGGGTGTTGGTTATGAAGGGGGCAGGGCACCCCTGTTACCTTGACAAACCTGAGGAGTGGCACACAGGGCTGCTGGATTTCCTGCAGGGGCTAGCATGAGACCCAGACCTGCTGATGGGGGTGGCTACTGGCCTGCCTTGGGCTCTCTCTGTCTCCTTCCTCCCTCCATGGGTTTCTGCTCATCATGTACATGCAACAGGTGTATCTCTGTCCATCTGGGTTCTTATCTTTGGGGTCTATCTTTTCCTCTTCCTCTTTCTCTTGCAGTGACAGACTATGGAGCTGCAATCAAGAAGAAAAGCCCCAAGAATCAAGAGACATAATCTGGTGGAGGGTAATCCATTGGGCTTCTCTTATAGGTTTTCCTGTTTGCTTGCACCCCTTTCTCTGCCCTTTTCAGCCTCGCCTTCCTGCCTCCAAGTTCTCCCTTTGGCTCTCCTATGGGACACTCACACCCCCTTCCCCTGCCTCTTAGACTACAGATACATCCATGCCCACGTGCATGCTTACACATTTAGAGCCATCTATGTTCCCAGATATGGCCCTTCACTTGGTACAGGCAACTCTGGGCTAACATGCACATTGTCACCTGCAGCTTTGCACTGGATGCACTCACATACATGCATTCTTGTGCCTCCACACATGCCCCCTCCCAACCATGCAGCACCGACTGTCCAGGAAGATGGGGACCCAATGGGCCAGCCCTAGCAGGAGGCCCTCTGCCAGGCTTAGGAGTAGCCAGCCTTGAACTTCATTCACCCACATGATGCAGCTGGCCCCAGACCAGAATTGTCCCCCACCCCCCAAAGGCGACATCCTTTCCACCCTCAGATCTCTCTGCCCTCCGCTCCTCGCTTTCTGGGTGCTCCACACCTCCCCAGGTTGTTAGGCCTGCATCTGCTCAGCCAAGCTTGTTTCCTGCTCTGGGGTTTGGGGGTTGGGGAGGTAGAGAATGGAGGTCGATGAAATAAAGTGATGCAATTAGACCCCGCAGACTCTCGCTGTCTCCGGAGCGCCGCCCCTCCCCCGCCCCTGGGGCCCGCCACGGTGGGCCCCTCCCCCACCCTGGCGGGACCAGATGGTCCCCCTGCCCTTTGTCCACCCGGCCAGATGGAGGGGAAGGGAGATTGGATTCCCCTCCCCACCCACACACACCCAGGTGCCAAGAGACTCAGCTGTGGGGGGAGGTGGAGGTCAGTGGGACCAGGCTGAGCCGATTACGAAGGAGAGGGGGAGGTAGATCTTCTCCCCAGGGGGTGCGGTGGGGGAAGGAGAGGGCTTGGGGGACCGTCCAACTCCTCCCATTCCCTAGCAGAGTACTCAACCGCGCCGCGGCCCTTGCGACCCTAGCACCAAAAAAGAATTTAGGGGTAGCTCTGGGGGAATGGCGGGGCGGGCTGCACGGGATCACATCGCTCTCAGGCCCCTCCTCCAGTTGGTCCAGTAACTTGTCCCGGGTGGACAAGGGCCGGGCCTCGCGGAAGCTGTGTGTGGCTGAGGGGCGCGGGTCTTGGTGGGCGAAAGCCCCGCGCGGGGATGCGGGGATGGATGGAGCAGATGCGACCAGAGCCAGGAACCGGGTCGGCCGTAGGGTCGAAATCCGGGCTCCGAGGGATCCAATCCCGAGCGGGGTAGCGTGGGGCCTGGCGGAGGTTTGGGAGCGGTGGGCTCGGAGGAGGCGCCGGGCGGGCGGCCCTGGCGAGCAGAGTGCAGGGGCTCGGGGCCAGGCGCTGTGGGATCGCGGCGGGGCGGTCGCTCGCGGCCGGACGTCCCCTCTACCCCCACCCATCCACGCCCCCCGCTCCCGGCGCACGAACGACCTGCCGGGGGAGGGTCGCACCAGCCCTCCCGGAAACGGCCGCCGCTCCGGGCGCTCCGCGGCGCGCGGGGCGGGGCGGGCGGCTGCGGCACTGGGGCGGCTGGGGCGGGCCCGCCGCGCTGTAATCGGATCCGGGGAGGGGGCGGGGAGGGGCCGGGCCGGGCGGGCCGGGGGGTGGGGGGGGCGCGGAGCCGGGCTCCGGGCCGGCCGGGCTCCGCGCCTGTCAAACCCCTCATTGTTCGCAGCTGATGTCACTCGCAGTTGTGAGCGGCCGCCTCTCCCGGGGACAATGTGGGACTGAGCGGCCCAGCCGCCGCGCCGCCGCCGCCGCCGCCGCCGCAGGACAGCCCCAGCGAGGTAGGGCGCGGGCCGGGCGGGGCACCGCGGGCCGCGAAGTTTAGGGGTTCCGCCGGGGGGTGGGCTGGGAGCCCGCGCCGGAGTCTACAGGCCGGGGTCCCGGTTTGGGAGACTGGGAGACCGTGAGGAACATGCTTCACTGTCCCACACGGGCCCAGGCCTGCACAGGTGGGGGGCGCTGCTCTTCCAGAGGAGCCCCCAGCACCAAGGGAGGGCCTTCCTGGACCTGAGACCCCAGATTTGAGACCCACATCCCACCTGCTGTTTGTGTTCTTTGGACCTGCTCTTCTCTCGACCTCCTGCCTTGGGTTCTGGTCCTGCTCCATCTCTGTCCCCATCTGCCATTCCCCTGCAGTTCCTGGCTCAGCACACACCCCTTCCCATTCTCTGCAGTCCTTGATTGGGGGGGCTGGCAGACAGATCTCCAACCAGGGATGTGTAGTGATGACAGTTGTGGGCTCAGAGTGGCCCTTCATGCCCTGTGGCTCTTCAGCCCCCCAGCTCTGACCTAGCTTCTAGCTGGAGTCCTGGGGGACAGGGGGTGTCTCTGGCTACTCACTTCAGCCTGGCTCTCGCGCTTGCCTGGTCAGGAGAGGGAGGTGCCCACCTCCTCACTCCCCTGTCCCAGGCCCGCCATCTTGAGACCTGTGGCACCCAGTGCTCCGCCCGGCTCCAGCACCCTGGGGAGTGGTCTTCCAGGGGATGCACCCACGGCCAGGTGCTTGCACTCCTTCCAGAATGTGGGCTCTTGGCCCCCACCAAGCCCACAGTGTTTACCTTCATGCTGGACCAAGAGGGCATGTGTCCCTAGGGGCCCTCCTTCTACAAAGAGCTTTAGACCCCAGGGACTCTCCAGGACCTTAAACCTTAGCTCCAGCCTTCAGTCTTTCCTGAGGTCACCCTCACTGCTTCAGGGCCAGCACCTGGGATCCTGTCCTTTTCCCATCTGAAGATCCCCTAGTCCCTCTGCGTCCTAGAACCCCCTCAACCTCCAAAGCACCCCCATCCCAGCCCCCACACCCCAGCCTTCATCAGCATGCAGGCTCAGGCTGCCCAAACACAAGGGGATTGTTCTTCTTGCATGCTCAGGGTGGGGGGCTGGGAGCAGGCAGCCCACACACCCTGGCAGGCCCAGGCCACAGGGAGGCTGGCTTTGCCCCGCCCTGTGTCCCCAGACAGGCTCTGTCCACCCTCCCTACTCCCATCCCTGCCACCCCCCACCCGCACCCTTCATCACCATTGCCCAGTGGCATTGACCTCTTGAGGAAAGAGCTCTGAGCTGCACAGGTGGACCCCTGGTTCTCCCAGCTCTGCCAGTTGCCTTTCACGTAGCCTTATAAACAAGTGCCTTCCTCTTTGGGCCTCAGGTTCTGACTTTGTGAAACCTATGCCACTCCCCAGCTCTGCTTCCAGCCTCCCTTACACATGGGGAGCCCATTCCAGGCCCCTAGAAGTCTCAAAGCACAGCGCAAATCCCCCACCCCAGTGACGTGCTGGAAGCCCCTAGATCCAAAGAAACATCAGGAGCGGGGGTTCTGGGGATTCCGTCTAGCCAGATCCTGGGTCTCCCATGTGGCTGGTCTGCCTGTGCCCTGATCTTCTCACCCCGTCCTTATATCCTTATCTGGGACCCTCAGCCCCATCTCTGGTCCCTAATGCCTCTAGGCCCTTCTCCCTGCCCACATTCTGGCTCCTGATCTCGTGGAGAAACTCTTACTCTCCTGGGTAGTAGAAAGGTAGGCTTGAAAATGCCAAGTTGGGGCTCCTTTAAGTTGAGGCATATCTTTAGGGGGTACAGAGGCCTGACTGATTATGTCTGACTTGGAAGGTTGGGGAAGGCTTCACAGAAGAGGTGGCATTTGAGAAGGATTTTGACAGAGAGTGAGGAGGATGGGCATTTCAAGCTGGGATCAGCCTGGACAAAGGCCCAGAGAGGCCTGGAGGTGCTAGGCATGTTTTGCAGCCTGGTGTGTAGGGGGGAAGGGATAGAGATGAGAGAAGAGAAGCTGGCAGGGACCAGATCACGAAAAGCCTGGAGTGCCTGTCTATGGTGATCAGGCTTTATTCCTTGGGTACTGGGGAGCCAATGATGGCTGTTGAGCAGTAGAATGACCCAGTCTCCAGCATGGAAAATAAAGCTAGAGACCTTTCTCAATTTGGATGAGGCAGTGAGAGGATGGGTATCCGGGGGTGGGGCTGTACCATGAAGTTGTGTCCTTTTTCCTGGAGCCCATTCTGGGCCTGCCTCAGTTTCCCTTGGCTGTGAGGACTCTTGAGGCATTGCCTAATGATGCCCTAAGGAGGCTGTCGCATTTCTGGCACCGGACAACTTGTCAGAGCTTCCCTTCGCTGCCTAGCACTGATTCCACAGGATAGCCTTGGGTCAGGAAACCAGAGGGTGAGCTCATGGACCCCTCCCCGCCCCCACACACACACCCAGGTTGCTCCCCTGCAGGCCTCTCTTGTGACTCTCCCAAGAAGTGCTATGAATGGTCATCCTGGGAGGCTGGGAGGCTGAGAGGCTGGGCACATGGGGCAGAAGATACTGGGACATTTCTTGTGGAGGCCTGGGGGGAATCAGGAAGGGGGAGCATACCCAGTGAATGGGACAGGCAAGGGAGTCAGGATCCCTCAGTGCTGATCTCCCCAAGCCTAGTGTCCACCTCCTGCCACGCCCTGCTTCGCCTGATGTCCTGAGCCATTCCCCAGCATCACTGGGTGTGGCCAGCATGGCTGCTTTTGGATTAGGAGTAGGAGGCTGCTAGGTTGGAGCCTGGTGGTGCTGAGGGGGATGTCAGGGGATGTGAGGTGGGGGGTGAACTTGGAGACTGCCCCCCACCTTCTTCCTAGCCCAGGTGGGTCTGTAAGCCCTGGTTGGTCCAGACACTGGCCAGCAGAGCCAAGGGAATCCCCCAAGGGGCGGGCCAGTCCACTTGAGTTGCCTGGCCCCAGGAGCCCTCCCCTCCCCCGGATTGTTCTTGCTCCAGAACAAAGCCAGGGTGGACACTTGATCCCTGCATGTGGGGGGGAGCTGGCTAAGCCCCCAGCCCTTTGATTGGGCAGCTGTCATGAGAGAGAGACAGCTGGGGGGGAGGGGCAGGAAGGGGCAGCCGCCATAGCTTACACAGCTGTCATCCCCGCCCCCCCGCCCCCTCCAGCCTGGGTGGCAGGAAGCCAGGGACAGAGGGAGTGGGCACTCGATCTGGGGAGGGGGCCTGGGGAGCAGGAGGGAACACCCGAGGTCAGAGGCCTGGTCTGAGCTTGGTATGTTCTGCCAAGGAGCCCTGCTGACCAGAGGGGGCTGGGCACCCCCAGAGGTGAGCTGGAGGTCAGTATGGCATGACGTGTGGCTGCCATGTGGGTGGCCCAGCAGGGACCCAGGGCCCACCAACAAATAACTCCCTAGAACCCTGGTGAGGGCAGAAGAGGACCCAGCATGGCTAATAGGACTGCTTATTCTTAGGGCCCCTAGGAGACTAATTTGGGAAACCTGTGTCAGGAACTCTTGTTCTCTCCTAAAAACAGGAAAGATCTTGAGGGTCCCTCAGAACAGGAAGGACACAGAGATACCAACACCAGCAACCCCCAGCCCCATATATACATAGATAGCACAGGTAGGTAAACTGAGGTACATGTCAGGTGAAGGCCTAGCCAAGGTCACCCATGGAATTGAGGCAGTAGTCTCTGCTACAGACCCAGGTACCTTTTTCAAGGCAGGAACTCTAGTTTTGGCCAAATTCTTCGTCCCTTTGCCCTTTTTTCCACGAGCCTCATGACCCCAAGAGGTAATGTGGCAATGGTATGGGGACA